ACATATATAATGGATCTAAGACTCAGGTTAGGACTGTGGGAGGACTCAGAGTATTTTTCAGTTGTTATGGGGTTACACCAAGGATCTGCGCTCAGTCCATTCTTATTTGCCCTGGCGATGGACGCACTAACACACCATATTCAAGGGTAAGTGTCATGGTGTATATTATTCGCTGATGGTATAGTTCTGATTGATGAGACACGAGGCGGCGTTAACGAAAGATTGGAGGTTTGGAGACAGGCCCTTATGTCTAAAGGTTTCAAGTTGAGTAGGACTAAGACAGAATACCTAGGGTGAAGTTTAGCAACGTAACGGGGTAAGCGCACATGAATGTGAGGATTGACTCACAAATCATTCCCAAGAAAGAAAGTTTCAATTACCTTGGGTCAATTATCTAGGGGGATGGAGAGATCGACGAGCATGTCACGTACCATGTAGGGATGAGGTTGTTACACCCTGTGCGTCCCAAAGTGACGTAATGAATATGAGACTTGTTAATCATGATTTAAATGATTTTAAAGTCATAATATAGCTATATACGATGTTTGGATAGAAAATATAAAGTTTGGGGAAAATCGGATTAAAGTTGCGGAAAAATCGACTAAGGATTTATCTTGTAACGAAGCTTTTTGAGCAATATATTTAGTATGATATATGGAGTGTTTTTAGGACATATTATATACCAAATTGAAGATCTACAAGTCTAGTTTCCAACGCATTAAACCGTTTGTCAATACGATATCGAAGTAGAGAGATATTCACATTTTTGCGAGACTGCGCAGGCAGCTCAGTTGGGACCCACTTGAGACGACCATCGACCTTACGTCTTTTAAAAGATGTTTCAGCCTCATTTCGGGTCATTTCTCAACCAAATTTCATCCAAAAGCTCTCTAAAACCCTCCCTAACATATTCCAAGATCCCAAGAACCAAACTCAAGGGAAATCAACCCAAATCATCATCAAAGGTATTAAAGACTACAGGAGAATGCTTCTATGATGTTATGGTATGATTGAGGGCTATCGTGAGCTAAGTTGAGATAGTGTTTCGAGTTGTAGCTGTTGTCCAAGGTATGTATAACATTTTTTTGATTGTGCCTAAGTTAATCTTGTATTGGTTGTGTTGTTTGAGTGAAAAACCATAAGATAGCACTTGAAAGAACATGGGATATGGTTGTCTTTTTGGTTGGACTGTTTTGTGGCTAAATATATGATTTGTGGTGGCTGAAAATTGTGAGAAATAATTTGATAATGTTGTGGCTGCTGTTGTTAAGCTTTTCTAGGTGTTAATTAAGTTGATTGACGAAGAAAAGATGAAAAATAAGTAATTAACGATAAAAATTAAGGTGCCAGACGTATGAGACTGTTTTGGAAGGCATTTTGTGGATGTTTTGAACTAGAAATAATATAGTACATATAAGTATGATGTTCTGAAGGTTGTAAACTAATTTATGGAATAAGAGCTGAATTCAATTTATATCTTGTTATGAGTAAAAACGAGCTTGCCGGTCAATATAATTGTTAAGATAATCGGAGAAACTCATATTGGATTATATTATTGTTGTTGCTATTGTTGGTTATAGTTGTTGTTGTTGGGATGTTGATGACCCTTAGTGGTCTTTGGGATGTATTAAAAATAGGGGAGTTGCTGTCCGATTTTTCTTAAGTCATACGACTAGCCAAATACGATGGTACGACATTATATGTTAACGACAATATCATTTCACTTGTTGTAGATGCAAGAAGTTGTGTTGAGCTTGGTTAAGTAATAAGGAAGAGATCATACAGGTATGTTAAGGCTATCCGTTCTTTCCTTTTGGCATGATCCATATGATACAACGAAACGAGCAAGCACGCTACTTTCACGAATGATTCTATTCCTAGAAGTACTAGGGTTACCTATGTTCTTGATTCCCCATATGTCCTACTATCATATCGTCTGTTCATGGGTCTTATGACATTCCGAGAGATCTTATTGACTTATTTAATTATGCACTGCAATAATTTATATATGTATATTGACTCATGACCAGATAGCGTTATATACGCATATAGTATATGTATATGGGGTATGGGGGAAAGGCTATGACGTTATATATGCACCACCACCTGATCAGCTGGTATATGTTTATGATTTCTCCCACAGAGGCTGAGATTATATGATGGGATGCCCTCAGGGGCTTGATGATGTTATGTACGCATATACCTATGCATGATATGACATTTATACGCATACGCATGACATTATTCAGACTTACAGGTTGAGTTCTTTACTCCATGTTTCTTTCATGCCTTTTATATATTGATTTTTATGCCTTACATACTCGGTACATTATTCGTATTGACGCCCCTATTGCTTGGGGGCCTGTGTTTCATGCCCGCAGGTGCAAGTAAACAGGCTGACGGTCCCTCTCCTTAGGATCTTAGCTCAGCGAGAGTTGGTGTGCTCCATTTGATCTGGAGTTGCTATTGGATTTTGGTGCGATACTTTTGTATAAATATAAGGGTATGACGAGGCCCAGTCACGTCCTTTATACAGTTTTACACTCTATTAGAGGTCTTCTGACAGTCATCTATAGTTGGATAGTATGTGGTCTTGTCGGCTCGCCCTACTGTATTCCGCATATATATGTATATATGTCTTTTGAGTATGTCTCCTTGTGTATGTTATTCACATGAATCAACAGTTTAGGGGCAGATGTTATGCATGACCTACACTTATTTGATGTTTATATCTTAGACATATGCTTAGGGGTGTTCGGTAGGTAGAACTCCGGCACTCGTCAAAGTCCATCGGTTTGGGTCGTGACAGAGGCGGATGAAATGGAGGTTAGCATCTGGAGTCCTATGTGACAAGAATGTGCCACCAAAACTTAAAGGTAAGTTCTATAGAGTGGTGGTTAGACCGGTCATGTTGTTTGGGGTTGAGTGTTAAAGTCACATATCCCAGAAGATGAAAGTAGAAAAAATGAGGATGTTGAGATGGATGAGTGGTCACACTAGGCTGGATAAGATTAGGAATGAGGATATTAGGGAGAAGGTGGGCGTGGTTCCCATGAACGACAAGAAGAGGGAAGCGGGGTTCAGATGGTTCGGGTACATGCAGATGAGAAACCTAGATGCCTCGGTTAGGAGGTGTGAGCGATTGGCTTTGGTAGGTATGAGAAGAGTAGAGGGCGGCCGAAGAAGTATTGGGGCAAGATGATCAGGCAGGTCATGGCACGACTTCAGATCTCCAAGGACATGACTCTTGATAGGAAGATGTGGGGGTCGAGCATTAAGGTTGAAGGTTAGAGGGTAGTCGAGCGTTTTTCTACTTTATACCGGAGGTGGGGCTAGTCTGATAGTGTTTTGTCTTGGACTGCTAGTGGTTTATGTTGTGCTCTCACTACTTTTTCGTTTTCATAGTACTGTATAGTTATTACCGGTTTTTATTGTATTTTCATATATTTGCTGTCTCTTATGATGTTGATATTATCTCTCTGGTTATTGTTGGTGATACGGATCTATTGTCTCTGTTTGTCTTTTTGAGCCGAGGGTCTCCCGAAAACAGTCTCTCCATTCCTCCGGGGTAGGGGTAAGGTCTACATACACTCTACTATCTCTAGACCCCACTTGTGAGATTTTACTGGTTTGTTTGTTATTTGCTTTTGGATATTTAAGCTGCGAAAAACACTTTGATCCATTGGAATTTCACGCTCGCAAAACAAAATCCAACTAAACATTAAACATGAGCTTGCCAATTCTTGACTAAAGTAACACTGAAACACACAAAATATTGTAAAAGATTTTGAGCTTGCCAATTCATAAAAGCATTTTCTCCTGCATCAACAAGATTTATCGATGTTCATATCACAGGTTTAAGTATGAAATTCATAGAGCCACATCTCAATCTGTAATATGAAGCTTCTTCAAGTATTAGCAGATACCTTCAACTGGCATTAAAATTGCCAAAAAACCTAACAAGTGAAGTGGTAGTTTATAGGTAATAAGTACACGATGTAAAGGCATAAAATATGGTAATTACACCGAATAAAGAAAATGAAAAGCTGGCCAAGGATGCACTTGCATGGACAGCAATTATTACTTGTAAGATGCTATAGCTTCTTGACCAAATTGCAGCTCTAGGGAGACGGTAAAAATCATCGATCAAGTACCAAGCAGGCCAGCAGTATTGAGATTTAGGAGCAACACAACCAATCCAACCATGATCGGACTGCGGAATGTGGGGGCTGAAAATGATATCTTACATGTACCCCTCCCATGAGAGATCATGATATGGAGAAGAGATACGAAGGATGCCAAAAGAAAGAGTTATAATCAACACAGCTCAAATGCTGCTAGTACCACAACGAGTGAGGTGGAGGTTAGGGGCACATCGCGGGTTCAAACCTTGCCACAAACAAAAGTTCCGTAATCATTTGGACACGGGTGTAGGAGTGACACCACTATCCAACAAGTTTCGATTCGAACCGTGCGCCACTAGCCTATGGAGAATTCTCAGTTATCAAAAAAAATAAAAAAACAGCTACTAGTGCCAACCAATAACCCATAACAACCTGCTAAGAGAAGATTATAAATCCATCAGTACAAGGAGAGTCCCAAATATGAATCGGGGTATAAATACCTGCTCTTGAACAGCATAAATCAATTTTAAAGATCAGCCAGCTTAAGACATGTAATCAGTGGGGTTACGAAAAACAAAATAGAGAAAATGAAAGCAAAACTGGAAACTTCACTTCTATGGCTATTCAAGATAAAAGCTTCCTGGAAAGTCCAGCACAATATTAATCGGGAAACTGACATTTCTTTCCAACATATTCCCACGTTCCAGAAAGTAAACTATCTATAACCTATGTTGCTATGACGCTCTAAAAATATTGTAGGGTGCGTGTCGGATCCTCCAAAAGTAGTGCATTTTTTAAAGATCCGACATGGGTGTGACAACAATTTTGGAAAGTCCGAGCAACATAGTCTATAACACTTTTATATCGCAACTACCACTAATTGGTCACAGTATCCTGAATTATGGACAAAATAGCTAACAAAATTTTCAACTCAACGAATGTAGCAGAAGAGCCACTATCTTTCCAACTAAGATATACTAGCCCCATCTTGACACCAAGTAAAGCTGCTTCAATCCGAGCTGAAAAGGCAATTACTAAATGGTCATAGTAGCAAGGGCCGATATCCAATTTACAGGCCAATGCTGCCACATTCAGAAAGCTACAATGAGCAGTTCAGAAACTAAATAAACTAAATGTAATTGAACTTATCATTTACTAACGCACCCTGAACTAGGGAGAAACTTTCCCAAAACCAAGTTTTGACAGCAAATAAATTCACAGGTACCACAGAGGATTTATACCAGCACTAAGAAAGTTATATTTAAGAAGATTCTATTCTACATTTCACATCGCAACTTTGCAAGGAACAGTGAGAGAACAGATAATACATATGCCTTAGAGCAGCCATGTAGCAAATGCCTCAAGGACCAGCATGTACTTGAAAAAACTATTACGAATGGAAACATTAGATACATAACAGAAGCAAGAATTGCCTTCTGTGAGGCAGTTTCTCACCTTGAAGAACTATGAGTAAAATTAGATGCAGTTACACAGCATATGCCATTTCACTTTAGATTGTTTTATTCCTGGAGCCTTTTCGGGATAATAACAAGTTAGAGTGTCCATTGAAAGAGCTAGGTCAGCTTGAATTAAATCCACCTAGGTTGTCATCCCCACATTGGAAAACCAGATTCTCATGTAGAGCAGCATCAACCAAAAGACCTCAAGCATGAAACTTTAACACTAAGCCACTTATCCTCTTGGCTGTGTTTCAAACAGCATAAATAGATTAGGACAGTAAGCACGGCATGAACACTAATTGCCTCGCTTTTATATTTCCTACTGCTCTCAATTGAGTCTTTGACCATGGTTACTATGACCCAGCTGAAGAATGCTTCAACCCTCTCTTCCATATATATTTCTTTCCACTAATCAATTTCAACTCAAATTAGGGCTTCCTTCAGTAATTATTAGAAGCTTTGCTTCCAACTTTACTATAAATCCAAGCAAATAACTTCTAAAAGCACAAGAAAAAAGGAAGAGCCAAAAAGAAAATGAACACTCTCCAAGTTCATAATCTGAAAGCAACCAATAATCCTAATTCCAATTAGATGTTTATGACAATGAAAACAGGAATCATAAATTCATCATATGCACTGTATGAGTAAAGCAAGGAATATAAGAGTTGCAGAAAGCATGAGGAAAAAGAGAGGAGAATATAAGCAAAACGTTCACATGAGTTTTTCATTTAAGTCTGCCTTCCCAAAATGGAAACGATACATCTAAATGGAAACAGGGTCTAGAGCTATCTAACAAACCCAAACAATCCAGTAACCAATTCTAGATACATAAAATTCCCTCCTAGAACAGACCTAAGATTAAAATCCATATAAGTAAACTAAAGGACTAAACCGCAAACTTGACTTCAAATTAAGAACTCTGACTAAACATCTTCAGTTGGATGTACCATCGCAAATTTACTAATTCTGACACCAGGGAACCGTGATTACAGAATCTAAATCAACACAGAGTTGGTGTAACCCACATCGGTGGAGTAAAACGATTTAGGGAAAGACACTTATAGTGACCCTTAAAGGTGCCATATGCTATGTCGAAAATACCCATGTCCAAGCCGCCCCCTTCTTCATAGTCACTGTATTGTTCCTAAAAATCATCAGTAAAATAAATACAATTGGGCTTAACTCCAGGAAATTGAGAAGCTTGGACTGACAGAGATGCATTAGCACCCAAAAAGAGGGCCATGTCCCCTATTTGTTTGGTCTCCGTCAATTTACCAGCAGCTAAATCAACCTCGTAAACTCGAAAAAATATTGTGTGAAAAATGAGCTGCCCATCGAATTCGGGGACCTCCTCCTCATCATAAACTTCATCCTCATAGACAGGTGTGAATGGAAACCTGGACAGACACAAACCACCATGTCGCACAACTACAAGTAATGATCCTAGTGATTCTAATATGTAGTATTCAGCTCCCATGTATTATCCCATTTGATAGATATCCAGTGATGAAGGTAACTGAGCTACTCTTTGAGCCTCAGTTGGTCAGTAACATTGCGAAGTAGCACATTGCCTTGCATATCAACTGCATAAAATTTGCCATCAAAGTAAACCACATCGCAATGTTGATCACGAGAATGAGGCTCATAGTTTTCTCTTCTAATCCTGGTCCATTTCAAGTCTCCTGGCCTCCAAAAACTGAGGTACTTATTTTCTCCCTCAATGACCATAAGAAGATAATCTGATGTTTTAGAAGGACTAGTGGACAAAACTGCCTTGTGAATAAAGTTCCATATATATTGAGTCTTGTTGCGGGTATAATCTTCAGTGGTATTTTGATGGGGCAGTTCAATCTGAACACCGGAAAAAGGATGTAGCAGACTAATTTCACCGTCTATTCCCACAGTGATAAGCCATCCCATAGACTCCAAACATCTTTTTCCGCTGGCTTGTGGTATCGTTGTCTTGAAAATCAAGTCATTGCAGAGGTTGAAGAACTTTCTACATGAACTAACGTCGCTTCCTTCTTCCTCAGCTAACATAAGCCATGGAACCCTAGGCAGGTCACTGTTAAAATTTTCCTTGGTGGCCGCAAGTCGCCAGGGTTTGCAGACAGCGGCGAAATTAAGGTAATCTTCGATCAAATTCAAACGCCTAGCAACGTGAACTAGCACATCATATTGAAGTTCTGACCAATTCGGTATCAAAGATGTACTACTACCTAATGTCCTTTTCTTCCTTGTCTTTCTTTTTCTTCTCCTCCTTTGTCCCATTCTTAGATCTAATAACCCCTCCTTCTATGTTCTTGAGAAATGAGTCCCTCTTATTTTGGGACAAAATCCAACTATAAATCCCTCTTGTGGGAGAAATTTTATTTTGAGCTAACTCAACCAACAAAACTTGTATTAGACAAGTGGAATAGAAGGTCCCACATGACAGACTCCTCTTTTCTCTCTCTTGCACTCCCATTTCACCATCCCTTTCTCATCTTCTTACCCAATTTTACTGAAAAGTGAACTCAAGATTACCTACGTATGCTCCTCTTTCTCTCTCAGTATCTTTCTCCTTTTTCTTCTTTCTAAAATGCATCATCTCTTTAAATTATTTGACTCAAATATGACTATTAAAGGGCAAAAAATGCATCATCTCTCCTCTTTCATCCCTCTCCTTGTCCAATGGTTTCAATTCAACTCAAACAACAAAATACTACTCCTCCGTTTCAAATTAGATTACATGGTTTGACTCGACACGGCTAAAAAAAAAGAAGAGTATTACACTTCAATTTTCAAACATCGCAAAAAGTAGTACACATAAAATTCAAAACTAGAATCTCATATCATCACAAAAGAAAAGGTTAAAGATATTAGAAGTTGTACCCAAGCAGCAATACCAAAAACAAACAAATGTGACGTTGAGTTTTATCACTGCACACAAGTAACATGCCAGATTAATAAACTTCAACCAAACTATTGATCAGATTATTACAGAGGAACCGAAAAGCATAGTTATCTAAAAAATTATTGATTCTCCCACCAAAATATTAAACCCATCAGTTTTTCTCTTCGAAAATTTAGGGAAAAAGAAATTTTTAGTCATTTTTCTTTTTGAACTCTTGAATTACACAAGCATACACGAAAAACCCCCCTAAAATCCAACTCTTCAGTTTCTTTTTGAAAATATTTTAAGAAGATAGAGGAGAAGAAACTCAGAAGTGAGAAAGAGAGAATTAAAGTTACTAGTTTTTTGTTTTGCCATTCAGTAAAATGGATAAAAAGATTAGAAAGAGATGGTGAAATGGGAAACGCATAGTGCAAGAGAGATAAGAGAGAGAGCCTGCCATGTGGGTCCCACTTTTTCACTTGTCAGAGAGCCTCATACAAGTTTTGTTGGTTGAGTGACTTGAGTCTCACTCAAAATAAAATTTCTCCTCTTATGGTATGTTTCATAATATTTCCCAGGAATTGGAGCTATAGAGCGTAATATTTTTGGGATATTAAATGTATTTTAAATATTAGGTATATCATAAAAACACTTTACGAACGGGTATATTATGAAACTTCTCCTCGCCAATCTCCCTTCTTAAGGGCAATTATGGTAAAATATGTGAAAGGAGCGCAATTTTAGACTTCAAATTAACCATAATGATAATTATGGTCTAATAGGTGAAATGAGAACAACTTTAAATCATTTGTAATAGAAAATTTTACCTCTTATAACAAATGTATACATCCTATTTATTATAAATCAAAATTATTTTAAAATATTATTTTCTATAGCTATCTTTTATATTTTAGGCAGATACACTTGTACTTGTTCCGATTTTGACATTTCGGTCCATGTATTCCATAAAATTTCATTCAAATACTTGAACTTGATCAAAACTAGTATTTTAAACGCTTCTGACTATTGACCAAGCTTATGTAGTATAAATATAACTGAGGTGGACAAAATGCTTGGTATGCACGCGCCTAGTGAGCGTGAAATGGTGGTTAAATTAAAAAAAATAGACAAAAAATTAAAAAGAGACAGAAACAAAAAGTATAACAACTCATATCATCTTTCAACCCACGAGCCTCTTCCAATTTGGCTCCGGCACCGCTCCCTTCTCACGTTCCACCGCTAAATAATACAGAGAAACAAAAGAACGTGATGTGCTTAAAAATCAAAGAGGAAAAGGAGCTTGGCCTTTCTTTTTGAGTAATCTTGAAGTGGAAAAAATGGATTTTTTTTTGCTTTTTGAATATCAACAAAATGCTCAATAGATAGCGAGCAAATGATTTGTCTACAGAGAGGTTATAATGTTTGACAAACGATATAGAGTAGAAAGCTTGAACCCCTAAATCCAAACTTAAAAAACCAAGATTATGGGTATATTTAGAAAATATAATTATCTGCTGCAACAATCTAAAGTATATACAGAGTGCAAAATTAAGGAAAAAAGCTCACATCCACTACCTCCCTCTACTCTTCTACCATCACCGCCACTACCTCCTTCTAGAAAGAGGAGGTAAAATAGAGAAAGAAACTTTGAAGGGTGGAAAAAAGTAGCTTGTCGCCATGTGAGAATTTGTGAGCTTTCAAGGTTGAAAATGGTGGTGATGGGTGAAAGAGAGAGTTGGGAATGTGGAGAGAGAGGAGAAAAGATGCGGGATTCCTATTTTTATTTTTATTTTTGGAATTTATAAACCATAATTTTTTTGTAAAAGTAAATTATGATATGGATATTACTTATCTAGGTGACTCGGATGTGTCATCCAAATCAGGGAGAGTGAACAACACACACAATAGAGGTATTTAAAATACTAGTTTTGATCGAGTTCAAGTGTTTGGATGAAACTTTAAGGAATACAGGGACCGGAATGTCAAATCGGAACAAGTACAAGTGTCTCCTATGCTATTCTGCCTATATTTTATAGCAAAATAGGTATTTACGGTATACACTACCATTAAGGAGTTAAATACGCTATTTATGTTTTTCTCTCTCTTTCTTTCAGTTATTCTCTCTCAAAATCTCAGTAAAATACTTTTACTTTCTCTCTCCACGATCTCTTTCTCTCTCACAACAAGATTGAGATAATTGTTAAAGCATAATTCTCTCTCACAATACGATTCTCTCTCACATTCAACGTTTTTGCTCCAAATATTCGTGGTAATTGTTAATATTTTTGGTTGGTTCACGCTTCTTCTTTTTCTCTTCACTTTTTTTTTAAAATTTTTACCATTGTTAGGTTTTCAGCAAAAAACTTCAAACTTCATCTTCAATGGCTGATTCAATAATTTTGAAGAGGGTTACACGAGGTATGCCCATTAAAACACTAAATTTTGATGGGCCATCTTTCGATTTACGAATCACTCAAGAGAAACTTGTATTTGCAGGTTCATCAACAACCATGGAAGTCGAGAGGCGAACAAAAATACGCAATGACCCTATGAAACAAGGTCAAGATGAGAAATCTTTGAAAAAATCATTAATTCCTGATGTTCCTCACGTTTCTATACTGTGTAAAAGAGAAGAAAACTTATCGATGTTGCTTCTGGGAGCAAGAGAAAAGAGGTCGCTAAAGGAAGTAGCTCGAAAATACGGAAGGACAAGGTATTTTAGATGTATTTATATATATTTGAGTCTACTTACACTGATTTTAGTTTGTACAACGATTTTTTTTAATTATATTTAGATGTATTTTTATGTATTTGAGTTCATAAAACAATAATTTTAAATACACCAATAGTTTTGTCATTATTGCCATAACTCAAGGTTGTATTTTTGTCATAATCAATGTATTTAGATATATTCATGACTGAGTTATGTATTTATGTATTCACTGTTTTGTATGTACTGTATTTTGTATGCATACAATGACAAGGCACAAACTGATGCTTTTGATGTTGTGTTTGTTTCAAATGTGCCTCAACAACGATCTTGGAACATGTATGCATTCAATCCCTTTTTTTATTCTTGTATCATTCATAATCATATATATATATATATATATATATATATATATATATATATATGTTGTATTTGATTGTTATCAATCTACTTTTTTGCAAGGATTGTGGGTTGTATGTCGCAACATATGCAGAGTATTTGAGCACTTGTGGATTGGTCCCACAAATAGCCTTTGATCCTAATTTACTCCGGTAAGATATAGTGCACTCATTTGGAATTATGCTATGCGAAAGTTAGATACCAATGCGATAAGTGACAATGAAGCACCGACAAATATTATTAGGCAAATCATAAAATCGGATACATATGTGAGGATAGTTATAAAATAGTTTTCTGTTTTGCAGATTGTATTTTCAGCTTATTACTGAATTATTCATGGTTTTACACAACCTTTGTTTTGAATACATGAATGCGTTTTTGAGGCTACAACAACTGTTATTATGAATACATTCATTTTTTTTATATACTTCTATATTCAAATTCTCATGATTCAAGAATCTATTTTAACTTTACTGTTTTTTTAAAAGTGCTGAAAATAATGTAATTAGATGTGATTGTATTCACAGTATTTTAGTTATTCTGAATACATGAATTTTTTTAGTTCTCTCTGTAATCAATTCATATTTAGTTGTATTTATCTATGTTTGAAGTATAGTAAAAACTTTGTTGAAATACACTGAATGTACAGGAACCACTTACAGTATATACACATGTCATGTATGTATTATGCTATATTTTTATATTTGTGTAATCATGTACATAGCTGTATTATGTATTCAAATGTATTTTGAATTGAANATATATATATATATATATATATATATCATTTTTAAGGTATCAGAAAACTTAACAGTAATATCTTTAGTCATGTACATGGTTATATTCTATATTCAAATGTATTTTGAATTGAATTATAACAATATATTTAACCACTTACAATATATATACATGTCATGTTATACATATATATATATATATATATATACACACATCATTTTATAAGGTATCAGAAAATTTAACAGTAACGTATTTAGTCATCTACCTTTAAAAAATTCATCTAGGAACAATCAAATACATCTAGAAACCAATAAGTAATAGAAAATCTTAAACACATCCAAAAACAGGGATTGGAGGAATTAAAATCAGAATATCAACTAATTCTTACGTGGGGCATTTCTACAAGTACGCTTATTATGTCCACCCTGCGCACATATACTACACGTATGTTGACTCTTCTTCTGAAGCAATTCACTTAATGTCTTATCGCGCTTCTTCTTTGGTCTTCCAGGAGGTCTCTTCCATTTGGGTAGTAAGACAACTTCC